CCGTAGATTGTACACTTGAATCTGTCCTGGAAAGTGCATTCCACCATTCCAGTGGGTTGAAAGGACCTGCCTTTTTCTCTATTTTGCGTAGTCAGACGGAACAGTATCACCTTATTAGCCCTAAACTCCGATTATGTTTTCTTAATCGGTTTCTCAGTGAACGGCTTCTGCCATTGTTTGCTGATCCATCTCGCCGTTGCTCTCGAAGTGCTCGGTTGCGAGCACGGGGAAGGGGTGGCATTGATGGCAGGAGTCCTTAGTAAGAGACAGACCTTCATCATAAAACCTGCTTATTCCAGCTTGAAACAACAATGTATCTGAAGGACGACACGAAGCTGCAGAATGAGTTCATCGCAAATCTCTTGAAGGAACTGTCGTCTTTGGATCCCCTTAGGTTGGTACTAGATGATTTCAGCGAGAATTGGAATTACTTATAATGCTTGATTAGATGAGCTCATAAGGTACAGCAGGGGCTTTAATGAAACAGCTCACATTCCTGAGTTTGCCTCCAAAAGGAGTAATGTATGTTGTAGGAGGAAATTATTGTAGAAGATCCTTACGGTTCCGGTTATTAGCCATGCTGTGTGGGGATCTTCGGCTTATCCTCTATTGGTTGATATGAGGCATAAGCTGGGAGCACTAACATAAACTGTTTTTATCAGTACTCTTATCTCCGTAGGCATGAACAAAGTTTCGGTTTAGACTTTTTTCTGTTGAAGAGCCGCGCAATGTCGTCCAAAGTTTTCACCATTATACTTCATTTAGGCGTAACGAGCAAAATCATGCTCTACAAACACTGCAACAAATGGTTAGCGAAGGTTCGCTGACGACTTGGGAGGAGAATTTCAAAAGCATCATTCTGCATATATTTAACGTGTTAGCGGTGAACGACGTGACGTTGAAGCGAAATGCCCTGAAATTGCTCACGAAAATCTGGTCAGTGCTTTCTCGGATCAACACCAATAATATCTGACTTTTAATGCGCTGAATTTCAGTGTTGCGCAGGCAGTAAGTTTCTACGATCTTGCGGAAATGACGCTCTTCAAGGTATTGGACTCGATTTCGGAGGAGGAAAATCCAGTGAGTGTCAGTTGTTACACACTACATAGTTTCCTACTTTTGATTTTGGTACTTTACATCATTATGTGTACATTCTTTCTGTCTTCATTGACTTTGAGCTGTGATTGACAATTTGTTTTTTTTTTCTTACCTATATTTTTTCTCACTTCTGCATTGTCTTGCTTTTGAGCAGTCGAACTGTTCCGACTGTAGGAGCCGCCCTTACCTGAAAAATTAATTCTTTCTCCATGTGCCGCCCCAACTCTCCTCTATCAGATATTGTCTTTTCAACAATGTGAGGCGACATTCTACCACTGTATTACATACAGCAGAAGTGGATCGCGCTGCAGATGGTGAGGAAACTTGGAGTGTATACGGAGGGGTCAGTAGTTCTACCTAGTGATTGGACTTTAGATTGGCGTGTTTATGTATTTGAAATGGCGGCCGCCGCGAAGTTGCGCGGATAAGTTGCTCCCAGCATGCTTTGCTGATATCCAGCGGAGTATGTTAGAAACAGCTTATCCACACGACTTCTATCAAGTGCGGCGACGGACCACGTCAAATCCATAGACATGCCTAATCAGACTTCGAGATATGGGTCGTAACGTTCATGCTTATGTTTAGTCGATTGGAATTCCTACTCGCTAAAGCAACGGGCTCATTTGGTGTATTTTTTCTTTATGGCTGCTAAAATACAGCATTCTCTCGAGTGTGCTACTCATTTTCTGTTTCCCACTTGTCGGGTTTCGCTTATGTTCTGACTTGCGAAGGCTTTTTCGTCGAGTAAGTTTGGGGTGATTGGATTGCTGATTCATCCTTGAAGACAGGTGGCACGAGGATTCGGACGTTGAAGAGAAGGGAATGCTCTTACTATAGTACCGGCACGGGCCCCATAGCGGATAGATGTGTGATGCATTCGAGGCTTCATCCATTCTTTAAAACATCTCCGTTTCTCTGCCTGCCACCGATTGCTGGTCCCTCGTCTCGAACTCGAGCCATTTTAACAGAGAGGCAGAGCGCTCACGTTGGTGATCACGTTCAGCACCGTGTGACTCGCTAAAGCGGAAATCAACGTTGAAAAGCCTAATTTCTCTACACTACTGCATCTTTAGCGGCTCTACTTTCATTTTCATTTTGCAACATGAGATCAGTCTATCTGCCCCCCTGCCTCTAAGTTGGGGACAACAGTTTGTCTGAAAGTCGAATGGCTAGATGATGCACAAGTGTTGTGGTTCCCTTTCTTGTTCTCTGTAAAGGTGCGCCAAGATAACGGCTCTTTTCGATTTCGCGTCCATTCACTCAAGATTGGGATGAATGACATATGGATCTATATACTTCCTCAAAAATCGAAACGAATCGTCATCATCTTTCCGGTCGATCAATTCTGTGATGGTTCTTAATGACATAATACGTTGGCGAACTAGTAATGCACCAGGGTTTTAGCTAAGATCTCACCAGCCCGAAGTACTTTCTGATTTTCTTTTTTCAGCAACTGCTGAACGTGGCCGATGAATGTCTGAGGACCTTAGCGACTCATTTTCCTCTTCACGTTGTCATTCGTGCGACGAAACCCATTATCGCTCAAGAGGTTCGTTCATAATCATTTCGGAGATGGCCTCACTATGGACGGCTGTCAATGCAAATGGCTTCCAAATTTCAGAATGACAATCGTGTTGGTCCCGCGCTAAAAATGTTAACTCGCCTTATCGAGTCGCTAGATGTTGAAGAGCTAACAGCTAGATTACCAGAAATTGCACCTGGCGTTGTTAATGTGAGTCTTTTTATTCATTTTCTCATCTGCTCATTGAGCGTTCCTCTCGCCGATCTCAAATCTTTTTTTTGGTAATTCTTCAGTGTTATTCGAATCCGCAGTCGAGCGTTCGCAAGTCGACTGTGTTTTGTTTGGTGGCGATGGTGAACAAGCTCGGTCGAGAGCCGGTGAATCCCTATCTAGCTCCGCTTTCTAATAGCAAGGTAAGCTTTCTATCAGTCGTTACCTTTACATTATCACGGTCAAGAAATTGGCGGTGGTTCTACCAGAACATTTTGGACAATCTGTTAAATTGGGAAAGTTATTGGTGAGGCGCGGTAGAATCTCAGAAAATGTTTCCGTGTCCTTTTGGGGTTCTCCCTATTGGGCCCTTGTTTCCCTTGTGGGCAGTTCTTAAATCCCTAGGCGCCTCCAAAGGCGAATGGGTGTCCCAATTGGGGGTGGGTGTACCCAGTTTGAAACGTAGCGCGGGTAAGCTTATGACCAGACTACTGTAGCGTGCATAGGGCACTTCCAACAATGTACATAATGTTTTATACAATGTTGCCATATGTTTTTATTCCACATTTCGTATTGCAGCCGCAATCATGTTTGTTTATACTCCATATTTTGATAGTAATTTAACTTCATTTTGTTTGTTGGAGCAGTCGAAAAGCTCAGTATTCAGCGCAAGCAATTTACCTTTGACGACAATGCGGATTTGCACGTAGCTTGCTCTGGGACCACGCCTCTTTTTGGCGCGCCCCAACTCTCGCTCACAATTGGGCAAAATTGTCCCTCAAAGCAGTTTTTCTATAGAATTTTTGACTTTAACAGTATACCAGATATAACTGCAGTTCTAGGCTTTCATACTGTATATTGTTTTCAAGAGAATTCCAAATTTGGAAGGGGAACTCGGGTTTTAAAGGGAAGGAGGGCAAAACCTCTAAAAGTTTAAGTGTCCAAGAGAATTTTCGATACACTTCAAACCCCTTCCCATATCTGAGGGCTATGAGAAGACGAAGAAGTCCTGATTAGTAATTAATCTTCAGCCTAATAATGCAAAACCCCAATTAATATGCTGGCGAGCTAAATGGCACATTCTAAAATTCTATATAAATTAGCTCTTAGTAAACATTTCTGTAAGCCGTGCTAGTCATAGATATTATGGAACTTGCTTATAATTATTGGGGTGTTACAAATGTTTTAAATGCACAAAGAAGGAAATTTTAAGGTGGCACCCACCATTGGGTGCCATTGTCCCACGCGGCGAACATAGTGGCACCCACCGGTGGGTGCCATTGTCGTGAAAGGGTTAAGTGAGGTCACACGTGTGAGTTCGAGGAGATGCGAAGTAACCTACCATGCGTTACAGTAATCCCCTAATTTAGCTACCGTCCTAAGTTTCAAACTAAGTTCCTCCACCCGTCCCATTGCCGGAGCCTTACGAGCGTTGGACAGGTGGTCACTAGGTTTAGATGAGCCTGAATCTTACAAATATTAGATACTTGGTCTGGGTAGAAGCTTTTTACAACCGACTTAATGTCTATATTCAGATTCACCTGTTGGAAGTCTACATTCAACGAACACAAACGTCATCAACTCACTTCTGAGTGTGGTTCTTTGAAAGCGTCTTTTTTGGAGTTTTAGGTGCTTTTTCACTCCTGATATGCCATTGTCGTACTCCTGCTAATGCATTTTCTCTAACATTCTCTCGAGTGTTTCAGGGATATAAGTTGTATCCATTACTGGTACACCATTCTGAGCTATTGAATTTTCAAGCTATTTCTTTACCTGTGTATTATTTGTTGATGGACCCATCGTTTCAGTGACCATGGTCGTCGTTGATTTTGCTAATCGCTAATACTGATACATTGGGTGCTTCCCGGTGTACACGGTGTTCCCCTACAGTTGTTCTCTTCATGTTCTTGTTCCTCTACTCACGTACCCCTTTGTGACGCTTTTCTCTTCAGAATCGTTATAAGCTTTTCGCTTGTGCATATGCATAGTATACAACGCCTTGTCGCTTTCTACAGGAAATTAGACGAAGTTCAGTTATCTCATTATCAAAAGAACACGTGCGGGACTTACATGTAGTTATTTGTTTCGTTTCTTGTCGATGCTCATTATCGTACGGTAGCACAGCTCGTACAGCACACACCTATTACTTGTGCGTGGCGAGACACACCCAATCGCCCAGTGAGAACTCGTCCGCTTCCAAATGGACCAGTTCCCACCTGTATCAGTCCTTGGTATTCATTCATATTCTCGCCTGAAGCGCATCGGTTCTTGTGTTCAAGCCTGGGAGCCATCGTTTGTCCCTTAACTCTCGAGTTACTTTATGTTACTTTGATATTGAATAACGGTTTTCAAACTATATGGTTTTATAAAACTAATGAATTTTTAATGCATCAAGTATGTTTTTGTGAATGCTGATGTTCTGAGGTCGCCGGCAACTTGTTCATAGTCGAAGCTTCATGATATCGATGAGATCGGTCGCGGAGGAGGTGTCATGTGTTTGAGAACTTGATCAAGCCACTGAAAATAGTTATTTCAATCATGTTTGGAACAATAGGATGACAATATGGCCTATGTTGGCCCTTTGGGGACCTCGGAGGCAATTTCCACTTAATCAAATTTGAATTGGATTTGCGCACATGTTCTGCCAGACCCCTTGGTTTAAGAAGATATCACGGCGAGGGAGAAGTGGTTGAAGGAAGTTTTTCCCATGCGGTAAAAGGACTCGATCTGCTTGAAGAAAAGGGAAGCTGACAGACAGTATATGGAAGCGCTATTTAAAAAAGCTAGTGAAGATCTCACGTATTGTCACTCTAAATCCAAAGGAACTAGCGCCACAAATTCTTGAACTTCTTCTATATAAGACATTTTTCAGAGTAGAAAACAGGCGATTAAGCGGTTACGGGAGTACAATTGTGGGCGTATGATTTGGTACGTTGCGCCCTTGGAGCGTTTGCGCGTTCAGCTCCAGCGGTGTGCCTCTTCGCTTACACGCCTACTCGCCTGATTGATACGCATTTTTTCTCGCCTGTTCACCTAACCGTCATCCTATCTTCAACTTTGAACATTGGATTAATGACCTATTTTGCGAAGATAGGCTAAAAGTGGCTGGATTACTTTTACCATTTTCCA